GTTTCTGGCATACGGGCGACGCACAGTGTGAGATTTGGCCCATCTAGATGCTTTTAATTCTATAATTCGAAAACTATAGAGGATAGATTAATGAAATTTTGCACAAGGTACGGTATAAAATAGGCGAAGCTTTTTACAAAAGTTTGTAATTTAGAGGTACTGTCACGCCAACCTATTATATAACTGTAATTTTTATAACAAAGAGAGGGAGCTTCGGTGATGCCACTCCGACTTATTCGGTTTAAGGGCTCACTGAAGACTGCAGCGTCTGTTTACCAGTAAGTGCGGCTGCAAGCGGGTGTCTGTCTGAAGCAAGCGGCTCGCTTTATAAACGTGTATTTGGTTGCGAAACCACCCCCGTCCCAGCAATGGGTTGAGCGCTGGGTTTGGGACCCGCCACGTAAAAACCCCTTCCTGTGAAGAAGCGAAGTAAAGCCTCGAATGAAACCGAGAAACCAAATCGATCAGCAATGCAAGGAAAGCTTAACGTCGCAAAGCTGCAATCACAACACACACCTGCTCTCGGAGAGCACTCTTCAACAAACCGACATATGCGAACAGTGGAACCACACCTTCCGCTCATTAAGTTCCGCCGCCGAGGAAGTAGTCAGATTCCAGCGAGCCCGAAAGAACAATTTGTACGATAAGGAGTGTCAGGAAGCTGCAGGGAAAAAAGATGCCGCCTACAGGGCCACGCTGCGATCGGACGCAGCGCGCGCTATGTGGGACCGCTATAGGGATGTGAAGAGGGAAGCGAAACGTATTTGCCGCAATAAGAAAAGAGACAGGCCGAAATACGTGAGTGCGAAAAGCTTGAAATGCTGGCCGACAGGAAGAATGCCCGAAAATTTTACCAGAGACTTACCGAAGGTCCCAAGACTAGGGCGCACTCCTGTAAGAACAACAATGGCGACCTAGTTACCGTATTGTGTGAAAGACTGAAGCACATCGTCAATAAACTGATTAGGCCTTATCAGTATAGCTTTACATTTGACAAATCCACAGACCTTAATCTTGGAAAATACCCGCGAGAAAAGGATCGGCACTCACCACTTATTTGTCGACTTTAAAGCCGCTATCGACAGCTCTAAAAGGAGTTGCCTATACGCCGCTATCTCTGAATTTGGCATCCCCGACAAACTGATATGGCTGTGTAAAACGACGTTTAGGAATACCATCAGCTCCGTCAGAATTGGGAAAGACCTCTCCAAGCCGTTCGCCACCAAACGGGGCTTCATGTGACTTCTTTAATCTAATGTTGGAGTTGCAGAACTGAACCTCGCAGGAACAAAAACCGCGAAGTTTGTTCTGCCTTTTCCAAGTTGGATAAGGAAGTAAAGCCAATGGGTTTGTTGGTAAAGGAGGACAAGACGAAGTATCTCGTGTCATCAAAAAAACAGTCAGCACATTCGCGTCTTGGTACCTACGTAGAGAATTTCGTTTACTTGGGAACCAGCATTAACACCGAGAATAATGTCAGCATGGAAATTCAAAACAGAATCACTCGTGCCAACAAGTGTTACTTTGGATGCAGTAGGCAATTCAGGAGTAAAGTCCTCTCTCGACGTACGAAAACCACACTCTATAAGTAACTCATCCTGCCCGTGCTGGTATATGGCGCAGAGGCATGGGCAATGACAACATCCGATGAGGAGGCTCTTGGAGTATTCGAGAGAAAGATTTTGCGGACGATTTCCGGGCCTTTACGCGTTGGCGACGGCGAGTACCGCAGACGATGGAGCGATGAGCTTAATTAGCTTTACAACGAAATGCACATAGTGCAGCGAATTAAAATACAGCGGCTCCGCTGGCTTGGTCATGTCGTTCGAATGGACACCGGCGCTCCAGTACTGAAAGTATTCAACTCTGAACCCGCTAGCGGTAGCAGAGAAAGAGGGAGTTTGCGGGTGTAATGAAATTAAAACATTGCTAAAACTAAATTTAAGTTAACATCGTTTTTCTTTAACATGAAATACTTATTCCTAGTTTACTAAATTTATATTCGTCAAAAAGGATATATCTAAAAATATAAGACCAAAATGGTATTTTAACAATTTAATAAAACACAAAACACCAACAAATTTAACATTGAAATTCAGTTTCAAATACACAAGTTTAAATATTATTTCGCTTGGTAATGTTCCAAATCAAAATCCGTCCCGCCATACACTTTGTTTTAGATTTTCTAGTTGTTACTGTTTCGTCTTTATCAGGCATTTCCAAAAACATTTTTACCTTGTTTTGAAATTTAGCGATATAAAATTATTTAATTAATGTTTTCTAGAATATGGAAAGAATGCACTGTGCGACGCACGGGAAACTAATTTGGTTCTTTAATGTTTTTGCTTTATCTGGGATTCTGCGGCAGCTGCTTCAAGGAGGAAATGTTACAAGACTTCTTTTCACGAGATCGCTGTCAAAAGGTGTATTTTTTATACCATGTCAAAATATTGCCACTACGGCAAAAAATGTGGTTTATTGTGCCGATCTTTAAACTCCTCGGTGTTCCTTCTTATGAAACCAATCATCGCAAACGATGTGTTTAGAGAAGAAGAGTTTCGAGTCAAAGTTAGGGACAAAACGATACTTTTGAGCCGAGTACGGAGTAGGTATCGCAAGGAAGTACTTGTATCGAAAGCCGACTCAGTGACAATTTTATTAGCGGACTTTTATTTTTTAATCTAATTATTATTGTGAATAGCTAAAAATGTTTGGCAGTTTAGTTGCCAATGAAAAGAAAGTCCTAAAAAGAAACACCAATTATCATCTCATTAACATATTGCTTGCTTAAAGTGAAAAGTTTCTAAGTCCACTTTTGGTGAAAACTCATATTTGGATGTAGGAAGCAAGGTAAATAAAAAACGTAACGTCTCTAAAAGGAGTAATTAACGTGCTAACGTTTTATTTCTTCTCGTTTATATTCAATTAAAGGCAAATTTACTTAGTCCAAAATTCTAAACCTTTTAATTTGCAACGGAACCTTCTGCAAAATTCTTGAAAAGTTTTTTCCTTCCCTGAAAATTTTCAACAAATGGACTTAGCAACTTTTCACTCTAACAGCCAGTTTCACCAAATTATTTAAGTGAAAATTACTTTAATTTCGGTTTCACCAATCAATTTTAATTTTGATTTAAGTGACCTATGCTCTGCACTTAAATAAAAGTTAAATCAGAATAACCACACTCAGAGGTGTTACACGTTTAATCACCTGATCATTGTGTAACTGCTGCTTACTTGTATACCAGCCCTGCTTTTACAACACAGCGTGCCAAAGCTTTCAAAAGCTCTCAGTACAAATGAAAGCGAAAGCTAGTCCTAGTCTGTTTTACAACCACTTTTTACTCACTTAAATAAATAGTTTATTGAAACTGAAAATTATTTAAATGAGAATTAAATACAAAATTAAATTAAAGTTAATTTCCACTTAAATAGTTTGCTGAAACTGGCTGTTAGTTAGCGATATGAATGCCAACACTACACTATGATTTTGCCCTCCAAAAATTATAGCACGATAATTATCAACATGATTATTTCTTTCAGAAATATACCATTGTTGCTCCGCAAAAATGCTGTTGAACAGTGTTGTTATACAGATAACTGTTAATAATTAATTAATTTGTATAAAATAAATCTTTTTGATCTCGATCGCTTTGTCTTTGTACAAAATAAATATTTATGTATAAAAAATAAAATACGTACATAAAAAAGAAGCAAATTCTGTTAACAAAATTCTGTGAACTTTTTAAAACACAACTTATTGGACTTTGCACTTTTTTCTTGTATTTTGGAAGGCCATTCCTAGTGAAACATGTTTTAAAACTTAAAGTTTTTCCATTCGCCTAAAATCATAAATGATAGTCACATAAGTTATTTTGGCGAAAATTCATAGATATGTGAGAGCATACTTTTATACAAACAATTCTTATACATGTATGTATACATATCGATATAAGTAGGTATCGATACTTTTAGCCTGATACTTAGTAGGTATCGATACTTTCGTTCGATGCTACTTCCAAGTACAGGTATCGATACTTCCATGGTATCGTTTTAGCCCTAGTCAAAGTAAACACTCTAATCTTTCATCTCAAACCGATTCTCAAAAGGATGAACTATCTCATTTGTTACTAAAGCTAAATTAGTACACGTTGACCTACCAGGATAAAATCCTGTTGTCAATCTACAATAGATAGCACTGCTTAAAGGATCAAATAACTTTTTATGGAGTATGAAATCAAATCGGGACGAAAAACGAAATCCATTCTGGGCGAGCGGACCTGACTTCCTGCTAAAAGACGAGACGCATTGGCCACCAGCTGATTCCCATACAGGAACTGAAGAGGAACTTCGAGCGAAATTCGTTTTATATACTCATGCAGAATATAACTTCTGGGAAAGATTCTCGTGTTTCACTCGCCTTACGAGAGTCGATAACAGTCAGCGCGTTCCACGGGACAAGAGGTGTGGACCACTAACCCCAAATGAGTTAGAAAACGCGGAACTTGCGATTTGTCGAGCTGCACAGAAGGCTGCCTATCCCGAGGAGTACAAAAGTTTAAGCATGAAGAAGCGATTAGAACGCAGTAGTAAACTATTGACGCTTTTCCCCTATATGGATGATGCGGATGTAATTCGTGTAAAGGGACGAATCGACAGCGCGGACACAATTCCAGTAAGCACTCGAAGGCCCGTTATTTTGCCTCGAGCACACCACGTCACAGATCTGATTGTTAGCCTTTATCATCGCCGGTGGAAACACCAAAACGAAGGAACAATAATAGCCGGAATACGCCGAAAATTTTGGATACCGCACATGCGAGTAGCAGAGCGACGGGCTGCGAGAGAATGTCAGAAATGCAAAATTGATAGAGCTCAACCCGAAACCCCGCTTATGGGTCCGTTGCCGCAGGATATGTTGACGCCATTTGTGAGGCCATTTGCCTATGTAGGCCTAGATTACATGGGGCCCTTTTTCGTCACCATAGGACGGCGCAAGGAGAAGCGTTGGATTGCGCTCTTTACCTGTTTAACGACTCGCGCAGTACATATGGAAGTTGCTAGAGATCTTAGCACGGACTCTTGCCTGCTATGTATACGAAACTTTACGAGTAGACGAGGAACCCCCGTTCGCATACGTTCCGACAACGCTACGAACTTTATCGGAGAGGACAACGAACTTCAAAGACAACTCGCTGATTTTGACTCCGGAAAAATTGCTGACACTTTGGCGAACAAACGCATAGAATCGGTATTCAACACTCCGTTAAACCCTCACGCTGGAGGATGTTGGGAGCGTTTAGTGCGCAGCGTAAAACGAGCCATGGGGCATGCGCTCTATAACGAAAACCTGCAAGAGCACTGCCTTTATAGCCTGATGTGTGAAGCGGAGAATATGGTTAACTCGCGGCCGCTAACCCATATACCAATAGACACCCCCACCGACGAACCCATAACCCCGAATCACTTTCTTTCAGGTACAGCTAACACCGAGCAGACGCCTCATCCACGGGAAGAGGAGCACCGTGCTTCTAGAAAGCAATGGAGGAAGGTACAACAAGCGCAGCACCGTTTCTGGAAGAAATGGATTTCCGAGTATCTCCCGGATCTGTGCCGCCGGACCAAATGGTATCAGCCTGTACAACCGTTGCGTATTGGAGACGTCGTGCTAGTTGTGGATAGCAACATACATCGTTCTCGATAGCCGCTGCGCTTAGTCACTCAAGTGTTTCCTGGTAAGGACCTACAGGTCCGAAGTGCAGAGGTTCGAACCCGGGCGGGGATATTTAAACGGCCCGCTTGTTTGTTGGCGAAATTGGACGTTGGTGAATCTGTCTAGATTCACGGAGGCCGGGATGTTGGCAAATCTATTCGATTTAATAGTTAAATTATCGTTTGCGTTTGATACTACCCTAAACCCTGTAAAATTTGGCCCTTCTGGCAACACTGCTCCTGCTGGTAAAAATCGAAATGTGTCATATCTATATGTTTGTAATCGCTAATTTTTGTGTTCACTGATTTGTGTGTTCTTGCCATTTTAAATTCAACCAGCAAGGAGATACGGGATCAAAACGAATGTAAGAATATTTTTGTATTTCATTGAACCTTAAGACTTATATTTCATTTTTAGAAAATAAAAACTGTGCAAACTGCGCTGTGCTGTGTCACCAAAGTTTCCTCGTGTAAAAACTGAAAGTACGCCTGTTTTTATTTCTTGACTCCCTCTATGCTGGAACAAGTAGCATAATCTGAATTTTGAACAGTCAGAAAAATCTTTTCAATTCCAGATATACAAATTTTAACATTCAAACTCGGCTCACAATAAATGCTTATAATGTTAATATTAGTATTTAAACACGTATCAATTTTGATCACTTTAAAATTGATATTTTATATATAGAAACAGAATTATTCTGTTACCAAATTTTACTCAGCATCGCAATGTCTATGTTATGATTAGGGCTCGGAATCTTATGCACTAAAAAATCGAAAATATGCGCATATAATATACATTCAAAATTCAGAAATATGCGCCATACACATATAAAATATGCAATTACATTACACATGTATTTTAACAAGAAAATAACGAAAATATAATACATATTTATGGAGAAAATTAGTTTATAATCAAGCAGTTAGATACAGAAAGTTTGTCATTTTGATTCCACAACTCGTGCAACCTATAGCCATTTGGCGGCTTTAATGAATTTCGGTACGTCATACAGAGAGAGGCAGCTTCACTCTAAAGCTCGGAACACTTTGACGACAGCAAGCGACAAGCAGCATCTGTCAAATTTTAAATACACACGTTCTTACGGACACAATTATTTTGACGACAGCACGACATCTTGGCTGCAGGACTGCAATTGTCGACGTCGCCAAATTAAATCTATTTCTAATTTTGCCGACGACAATGAGTAGATGTAGTTCTGCAAAACTAAATTGTCGCAAAATTAATCACATATTCTTGATTGTTCATGTTTTTCTTATTTATTTAAATAAAAATACACAATTTGTGAAATAAATATACCAAAATGTCAAACTTTAAAATCAGCTGTTTGCTATGTCGCTGAGGTCTTCAAAATGTTTAAGAAGCTGGCTTCAAGGCGACATTTGTCGACAAAATGATGTCGCTGTCGTTACGTAGTGAAGTTGCAGTCGTCAAAGTGTTCCGAGCTTAAAACATTCTGCAGGAATGGCTTGCTGGACACTCGCACAGGAAGTGTTCGACTGTCAGAGTCATCGCAACTACTACACCAAAGGATGAGTTCTTGTGCACACTGCAGTAAGTTAATAGGTATCTTCTTTGCTCATTCCTAAGCGAGCTTTGGTCTAAGTGGGTCATAGTATACCCAGAACTGCCGGGTAATCCTGTACGATCCTATATGGTTCCCCTTCTGCTTGGCCTTCGAGTGATAAATTTCGGTAATTGTTGCTTTTATCTTCCATGTCCACCGCGTGGAACACATTCAGTGCGGAGCCGCACCTTGCAAGTTCGTCCGCTGCCACGAACCATATTAGGCTAATTTCGTATTGATCAGATATATGGGCCAACTCTCTCCTACAGCCTTCCACTAGTTGAGATCTAACAGAGGTAGTAGAGAGTACCTCAATGGCCGCTTGGCTATCCGAGAAGATATTCAGGTGAATATTTAACAAACAATTAAAAAAGTCTAAATTCGGGTGGAGCCAAACATTAACTACCCGGCGCAAGTATTAAATATAGTTTTTAACTTTTCTGAAAACAACCGTTACATGGTAAGAAGAGTGGTTTTACCCCTATTTCTAACAATTTTGAGAGTATGGTCAGTTATACTTAATGAGATAAACTTATATGGTTCGATGTGGGCGGTATCATGCCCACTTTCCGAAATTCTATAATAATGTTACTTATTTATATTTCGAAATATCGAAGTTTCAAGAATTTCTAAAATTTACCGTTATATGAAAATTGGGAGTAAATTTAGTCCGATTTCAATAATTTTTAACGTTTTGCTTTTATGTGGTAAGCGAAATAACTGTACCCAGTTTGGTACAAATTGATCGAACGATTACCGAGATATACATACCTGGTCATAAGTGAGTGGTGCCACGCCCATTTTCCAAAATTTTATTATAAACGTATTTTTTGTTAAAGCGTTATTACAAACATCAATTTTGAATAAATTGGCTTTAGTATTTACTGATTTATCGAAGATTTCGTATTTCTCTAAATTGCCGTTATATGGGATGTGGGCGTGGTCATTGTCCGATTTTATC